CACAGCCACAGATACACACACAGACTCAAATACACACACACTGACACAGATACACACACTGATATCCACACAGACTCGGATACACACACTGACATCCACACAGATACTGGTGGTGATTGTCGAGTCTCCTGCTGATGCCCTGTCCCAGTGCTGCTCACTGACTCTCTCCAGCAGCTCTGTCCCTCCTGGAGCGGAGGAACTCTCGGAGTCCGTCTGTCCGCTGCAGGAGTGTTGATCAGTGTGTGTGCTCTCTCCACAGGGCCTGGCGGACTGCAGCGTGGAAGGTGAGTCTGGGGGTCAGGGTGGTCAGGGTGGCAAGAGGGCAGAGGGGGCAGGAAAGAGGGGTAATAGTGTGGGCAGAGGTAAGGGGTGATGATCATGGGATGATGTTGAAAGGATGGATATACAGAGTCCGTAAAAAAAGATGATTAGGGGCTGAGTAAAGTTCTTGGGGTCCCTTGGGAGAGATGGAGGCAGAACCCTGAATACACTCCTTACCCTTCCTGTACTGTACTACGTCCAAGGAGTTTGAACTCTGAACTCTGACCCCCAGAGGCCCCTGTCATCGCCGCTGGGATTGTGACAAAGTAGATAAGATTGATTAAACAAGAACCATTACAGCCTTTGACACGACCAGCTCCCATCGAGTGAGTCTGGCCGGGAATATCCATATCGAAGTGTTCTCTCCTCATCTGACCGGTCCACTTTGCTCTGTCCAGATGAGTCCATCCCACTTAGTGACCTGCAGCCCAACAGGGCTCTGGTTCTGACCCGGCTGCGTGTGGAAGCTGTGCTGTGCTGTCAGGGAGAGAGAAACTGTTCACCCTGCTTGAAGGTCCTGCTTACACTGACCGTGAGAGGTAACTGGTCTGTTTCTGCTGCCCTGGTTCTGTACTGTGTGTCTGCTGTCTGCTCCACTTGGTTCTGTACTGTGTGTCTGCTGTCTGATCCAACTGGTTCTGTACTGTGTGTCAGCTATCTGATCTCTCTGGTTCTGTACTGTGTGATGATCCAAGCTGCCTGGTTCTGTACCATGTGTCCGCAGTCTGATCTTCC